CACTAAAAGTTGAAATTATGCATCAAATTAAAGATCCAGAAGGCAGATTTGTTTTGGTTTGTTGTAAGATAAATGAGATGCCTTATACTCTGATAAATATATATCTTCCCAACGAATCCCCAGTTCCAACTATGGAAAAAATCTTAGATTTGGCTGACTCCAATAAAATAGTAACATGTTTGATAGCCAGGGATTTTAATAGCGTGCTCGACCCTAAAATAGACATAAAATTTACTACAATACCACCATCCCATAGTAGAATAGATACGCTGGCCAATGAATAAATATGATTTCTTTGATTTATGGAGAATATTGTACCCTAGCATGTTGGAATGCATGTTTTTTTCTAGAGTGCACTTGTCCTATTCCCGGATTGATATGGTCTGGGGAAATGCAATCGCCTTAACGAATATAAAAGATATAACGATTCTAGATAATTCCTGGTCAGATCATAGCATCAATATGTGGGAGATGAAAAATCAATGGGACAAGATCAATAGAGAAACCTGGTGCATTAACGATGATTTATTACGGTACAAATCTAATTTAGAACTGTTTAACCGTCAAATTAGAGATTTTTTTTATTGAAAACAATCCGAAAGATACCTCATATATAAATAATTGGTGCACCTTTAAATCCACCATGAGAGGTTATATAATTAGTATTCAGGCAAAGTATAATGCAGAAAACAATAAAGCAATGATTTCGCTACAATCGGAACTAACAAAAGCTTCTAAAAGGAATAAGCAGATTCCTTTTCAAGGGAAAATGCAGAAGCTTTGAAAGCGGTCCAAAATAAAATTAATAATCTTCTATTACAAAAAAATGTGAAGATAATGAATAAATTAAAATCAAAATTCTATAGTAAAGGGAACCGGCAGATAGGATCTTGACAAAAAAAACTAAGAGAGAAATTAGTGGCAAGCAAAATAGTGAAAATAGCTGAAGATGAAGGAGAATACCTAGATCCTAAAAAGTTAGGAGAGAGATTTAATAAGTATTACGGAGATCTATACAACCTCCCTATCTCTAAAGTATTGGAAGAGGAATATCTGGCTTATACTGAAACCCCTTTTATCTCGTTGACCAAAGCAATTATCTGAACACCCTTATAACAGTTCAAGAAGTAGAGGAAGTAATAGGTAATTTAAAATCCTAAAAGACTCCAGGCCCAGATGGCTTCTCAAATCTATTTTATAAATCCTTCAAGATCTTACAGCTTTTCATTTAACCAACATGTGTTGGTAGGCAGATTTCCCATGGAAATGTTGAGAGACAATATCCTCTCTATCCCCAAGCAAAATAAGCATCCACTTAAAATGGAAATTTACAGGCCAATTTCCCTAATTAATATAGATGTAAAGATTTTTTTCATCAGTTCTGGAGAATAGACTAAAGGGTGTTTTGGCCAACATTATAAACAACGACCAAATAGGTTTTGTACCAGGGAGGGGAGCTGTTGATAATTCCAGAAGGTTGTTAGACCTAATAGACGCAGCTAAAAAAAGTGAAAAGCCTTTATTTCTTTTGGTGGTCGATGCAGAAAAGGCTTTCGACAGGGTCGGTTGGGGATTTCTATGAAAAACTTTGGAAAAATTTGGTATACGAGGTTAGATGCTCAAGGCAATCCTTGCATTATATGAGGGTCATTCCAATGGAAATCTTAGCTATTAACATCAGGAATAACTCAAGAATGTAAGGTTTTAGGTTTAAAGACAAAGAATTTAAACTTAATTTGTACGCCGATGACCGGATTTTGACCCTAACCGACCCTGTCGAATCATTGGAGGCCCTAATGGGAGAAGTGAATAAATACAGCTCAATCTCAAATTATAAGATAAATGTAAATAAATCAACCTTTCTAGCTATTAACATATCAAGAGCTAGTAGAGTCTATATAAAGGAACAATATAAGTTCAACTGGGCTAAAAATCAATTACCATATCTGGGAATAATAATCACTAACGACCCAGCTGAAACTATGCATTAATTTCCTAAATACTTACCGATCAACTCACGACTCTTTAAAAAAATAGAGACAGGTTGAACTAACATGGTGGGGAAGAATTAATTTGATCAACGCATATCTTCTCCCCAGATGGTCCTACCTCTTTCGCATGATCCCTTTAAGAATGCCCCAACCATGGTTGGATATGATACAGCGTGACATAGTTAACTTTATATGGAAGGGAAAGCGACCAAGATTAAATAAAAATCAACTGATGCAAAAGAGTAGGGAAGGGGGTATACATTTTCCAAATGTGAATCTTACCTACCCCTCTAATATGGTTTTCCATATTTATAAAACACAACTCTCAAGTTCTGAGAAAGAGTGGTGGTACCAATTAGAAATGGAAATGTCCAAAATGGAAAATTTATACCAACTGATTTTGATGACCAAAGGAGATGAGAGAGTTATGAAAGCATGTTCCCTAAGTATTTGTCTGGAATCAATCCTGTTGGATTGGGATAAGCTGAAAAATAGTAGCGGTTTGGGCGATAAAGTCCTAGGAAATTTTAATCTCACAATTATCAAAGCACGGATGAGGGACTTAGACATGAATACATGGACAGGAAAAGGTATAAAATACATCAATCAATTTACTATAGGAAATAAAATCAGGCCCTTTGCGGCGTTAATACAATCATTTTCTTTACCTAAAAAAAGAGTGGTTTAACTACCTAAGGATCAGTGGTTTCATTAAACAATTTCTTCTAGTAGGATTTAGGAAAACTGTTTGCACTATTAAATAATGGAAAAGTGGCTCAAATAGCTTCAAAAGCGAGAAGTGCACTTTTAAAAATAGGAGCCCCAACCATAAATTTAAATGCTCAGAAGTGGGAGAAGGAGCTGAATATCCAAATCTCTAAGACAGAATGAGATCAAATATTATGACAAACTGGTAAATATATTCATTGTTTGAATATTTTGGAGGTACTTTTTAAACTGATGAATCGTTGGTACCTGGTCCCTACAAGAATGGCTAAAATGTACAGCTCCAGCTCCCCAATTTGTTTGGAGATGAAACAAGATAGAAGGAAGGGACCTTTGGGCATATTTGGTGGGAGTGTGAAAAGGTGAAAGGGTTCTGGCATATAGCCTTTGAGGCACTAGAGTACATGACAGAGAAATGTATCCGAAGGGGCCCACATAATAGCGTGCTACACCTTAATTTACAATCACTTAATGGTAAAGATAGATTTATATATGTGCATTTTGTAGCGGCAGTCAAAATAATAATAGCAAGGACCAGCTGTATTCACAAGTCCGGTATCAATTAACAATGGAGGCCTTAGGTTATCAGATGACAAAAAAAGGGACACAAGCAAATATTGGTAAAAAAGAATGGAGAGTTCAGCTATTCAAGAATGAGGTATAGTTTTTTGTATTTGTTTTTCTTTCATCATTGACTCTCTATGATGAGTAACATAAAGGATGGTCCACTGTAATCCTCAAGGGTGATTAAGCAACACTTTTTGTGATGTTTTGTATTGTATTGTACTTTTATGGTATAATGCTGTTTTGTACTGTTTGAGTTGTCATATATCAGTTTAAAAAGCAGAATAAGATGGGTAATTTATAATATAAAGATGCACAATATTATCTATTTTGTATAATTTTTGGACCCAAGTAAGAGTTGACCCTCACTGTAAATGTATCTTTTATATGTATTATGAAAATAAAATAAATTATTTTAAAAAAATGTTTTGGGTTTGGTTTTGCTCTCTTTGGCTATCATGTCCTCATTTGTAAGTTTAGCAAATCTATTTTCTTTTTTGCATGTATTATTAGCTTCCTTATATCTTTAATATGATGCCTGTGACTGAGCCACATCAGTTTCAATTTATTTATTTTATATTTATTACCAAATGGCATATACTGAGAAATGTGCCTTTCTATAATGTGTTTGAAGATATTCCATTTATCCTTTGTGGGTTTTTTTTCACTAAAGAGCTTTTGCCTGTCAATATATTGTAAAGCTGCCCTTTTCTTATTGAAATGTATCTTTTTAAAAGTATATTTTTTAGTATGCCCCATGTGCATTAATTAAAACATTTTTTTTAAAGGACACTATATTGTGACCACTGTTTCCCAGGTGCTCCCCTATTTGAATGTTGGTTGGAAGATCAATATTGGTATAACCAAATCCAGATAAGCGCCCTTTCTAGCTGGTGCTTGTACAAGTTCAAAATCCTGATTCCCTTTGGTGACCTACTAATCCCTCTATCCCAATTTCTGTCCTGGTAATTAAAATGTCCAGCTGTACAAAATATTTCCAGAGTTGCTCCACTATAGACCTTACGATTTTGGATAGCTCATCTGGGCATCAACACATGAACATATAAATGTTTATACTCAATTTTGTTATTGAAAAGATTAAATAAGAAATAATGATTGCTGACTAAAGATTTATTCATTTTTTTCTACAATTGTAGTGGCTTCTGTAACTATTACATACAACCATCTTAGACCCAAAACAAAGACTGGTGAAAAAATTACCAAATGATAAATGATTTCATTTTATTACTTACCTATTCACAACCATCATAATCCTTGCATTCTGTTTTATTTAATAAATGTTGGTTTACTAAATGTACAAATCGGGCTCAATTGTTAATGCAATTCTTATTTAAATGGCATTTGACCCCTGTTCGACTGAGTTATGTTTATCCTGGGTCATCCAAATTGTGCTGAAGAGATTATGGGATGGAGTGTACATATCTACATTTTTGGTAGAGTAGTCCAAAATGTGTTTCTTTGTGAAAAGCGACATTTCAGTTCATTTGTAATATCCTGCAGAGCCTTTTCCTAAATGGCTCCACCATTGGATAGCCCACTTGAGCATCTCAGATTTATTTCTTCATTTCCCATAGTATTATACAATTTTCTGCCCTTTTTTTTCTATATATGTTGAACCATGGGTCTATATAGGGGTAAGTTTTTTTAAAATTATTATTAATTATTGGGGGCGGGGCTTGACTGTAATGGAGGGAAGACATGCCGTGCTGGAGCTCCTCAATAAGCATGACTACTAAGGCATTTCTAGACCACAAACAACCCCAACAAAAGAATTTAAGCGACTCACCAGCCCTCAATCCTCACGGTGTACCGGTGATGCGACCCGTGAACAGACAGCAGTCAGTCAAACAGACCTGCAAGAGCATGCGGCCTGGCGTGCGCTGGACGGGAGAGGCGGCCGATCTCCCAGACCGGAGCTACCCGGTGCCCGGAGGCTACAAGTGGACACCCCGCAACCCCCCCCTTTGGACCGGCGGGGGTGATCCCGGTCCCCACCCTGATGGCTCCCAAGCCTCATCGGGGAGCTGGGGCAGAGCCGCAAACATCAAAGTGCAAGATGGAACACCACCTAAGATGGCGGACGCCACGTGCACCCAGACTCCTGACAGGGAGATACACGAAACCCACCAACGCCTAGAAGCTATATTCGATGCCATTTGGAGGCAGTTGGAGAGCATGCTGAACCCTCCTGCTCCCCCAAGCGACCTACAGCAAACACCACAGGCCCAACATTCCTGAGATGGCGGAGATGGCCTAAACGACGCACAGCGGCAAAAGCATCCTGCCGCCAAGCTCAGAAGCGATACAACTCCAGCACCATGAAGAGAGAGACATGCAGGGACGGAGAGATGAGAGGGAGCACCTGCTGACCGGAGACCTTAAGCAGTTACCCTTTGCTGACAGCCTGAGAAGCCAAACAATCTGGGACAGTAACTTTCCGGTAACAGGGATAGGATGACCAACACGATAAGCCTTTCACCCCAAGTTATATCTCACTAAATATTTTGTTCCCATTGGACTTCCTATTTGCTTTACCTTTGATATAGCCTAACGATGCCCTTACCATTAGCCGACATGTCCCAGGGGATAATGCAAATTCTCACACTGCCATTCCTCTAATGGGTTACCTTTGTACACTGGGAGCTATCTGGGGTGATATACTCTACTGTATTTCCTCATCAAAACATGCCTTTAACTATTTCCCTGACACCCTGTGTGACACTTTTGATAATATTACGGTTAAGCCATTTAAACAGGGTACTCTTGCTAGTTAAGCAAAGTTTAACAATTATTAATTATTGGTACATACTCTTTGTATGTTTACTGTCTTATGCCTGATGATCATAAAGTGAACTGCCACAACAGACATACAAAGTTAACGTGTATTAAGCTTACTTAAATTGTGCCTTTTTCCAAATGCCAAATGTTAACATATACCTGTTTTTAAATTTCCTGTAACTACTGTCGTGGCATTGCAAGCATACTTTTGTTATTACGTGCACAACAAAAATAAAGAATAAAAAAAATATATATATATATTATTAATTTTTATTCTTCTTTTTATTATTATTTAAAATCAAATAATTTCACTATTTTTTCAAAATGCATTGTTTTATTTATTTGTATATTGTATTGCTATTTTGTCTTCTTATGAATGGCATAAGGCATTTTGTACCTGTATAACATGTGGCAATATATGATTGTACTTACACATACAACATTATATGCTTTTTCTTCATGCTTTGTTAATAAAACATATTTTGGGGAAAAAAGTATGACTTTTAGTTAAATTCAAGCTCCACTGGATACAAAATCACACTGATTTTTTTTCAAACATGCTTTCAACCATACATTCTAGTGATAGTTGCAAACTAACACTTAACCCGTGTATTTATTTGTAGCTTTGATATAAATAGGTTAAATGATATATCAACAGTGGAAGATGGCACGCACTAGGCCCATTGAGATCCAGTAGCAGCCCACTTGATACCTGTATTAAACATTGAAATCATCATGTGTCTGTAGACTGTTGAAATTACAGTCACCTTGTACAGACTATGATTGAAACAAATTACAAGGTGTAATAATCTAACAAGTTCTATATGCGTTAAGCATAAATTAACCACTTGCCATTTAAATTATGGTTTCTAATAACAAATTACATATATTTATCCATGGCAACAGTATTCTGCCAGATAATACCACATGAATAATGTCACTTTCTCTGCTTTTCAAAATGGTCTTAACATTTTCTTCGGTACCCTGTAATACAATTGCTTTTATAAAGTAATTCACATAAAGGATCAACTTCTTCCTTTATTAGTTTCCATTCCTTTTTTAATAGACTATTAAAAGCATTGCTATTTTCATTCATGAGATACAATATACCAAGACTATGGTACTGAAACCAAACCCAAATTATCCTGCGTCCTTATTGGAATGAGTTAAGGGAGTTTATTCCCTAAACTATGAGCTCTTTTAAATGAAAAACATGCTAAGTGTTCATAGAAAGTCTTGCTACCACATATCATTTGCTTATAATTTTGTCTGAACAGTAAAGAGGCATTCACTATAGCTGCATGATCTTTCAAAAATAAATCTTGGTCAATCTATCCAGGAAAAAGATGGAAAATAAGTATTTTGGTAGCAGGCTGGTCTAATTTATTATGAACCCAAACTGTTATTCAGTTTAGTAAATGAATAAAAAACATTCTGATGTTCTTTTAAAGCATCTTAATTTTGTCAATAATACACTCTAAAGTTGTCTCATTTGAATGGCTTTCTTTTATTTTAAACCAGTGCTTGTTAGTAATTTGAATGTGATAAAGGTTATACATGTGACATTAGGGCCTCAATTAAATATTTTTGGATAAACTTTTCAATTTCTAATATTTTTAGACCGACTTTTAAAATATATAATTTTTAAATATTAAAATATGAAAACATATCATATATAAAAATATATTAATATATTGATTATCAACATATGAAATATTTTTTTGAAATATTAAATCATTTTAAAAGTTTATCCAAAAATATTAAGTTGAGGCCTAGGTTAGCAATCTTTACTTCATATATAAAATGAGTTCAGCTAACTGCTCAACTAAATAAATTCTGTACTACACTTTCATGTGCCAAATGGGTATTCACTGCACCTTAAGACTTGTGTCTTGGCAAATATGGTATTTACTGAAAATTTTAGAGATATCTATCCAAATGAAACATTACTATGGTGGAACATAGTGAAATATGGGAAGGGAAGGACTTTGAATTGCATTCCAATTCTTTTACTGCAACAATGCCATTTCTAGGTTGGTAATTACTGAAAAGCACCCATATAGCTGCACAGCTTAGCAAGTCATATACTGTATATAGAACTTGTGCTGTTATCACAAGGCATTTTGATTAAGCAAGCACATGCATTGTGCACGCGGGACCTGGTGTCATAATTACAAAATGTCTGGAAATTTACAGTAAGACAAATTTGAGACTGTATATCTTGAAAATGTAATGTCTACATTCTATTACACATTTCTATGGAATAATAAAATATGGAATTTATTTTTTCTTTTCATTACAGTTAACTGTGGTATGGCATTTTAAACAACACAGTATTCTATTGTATATTAAATTTCATCTATACATTGTGCTAGCAATATTGCTAGCAAATGTATAGATTGCCGTACAAACCAGCATTAAAATTGTGCTCCACCTGATCGACACTCGACATGCCTTGTAATCCGACATCTGTTTGATAGTGTGCCCACCTACCAACATCGTCAAGACCTTCCTCCAGCTTTGCATTACCATCTTTATGGTGTTATAAAACCCAGCTTCTGTTTTGACCAGTGCACATGCATTTCATGCTCTAAGCAGTCATTTTGGTGAAGACCTGGCAAATGACAATTTGCCAACAATGTGGAAAAATCACAATATCCTGACCAGATTTAAATGCATTTTCCATATTTGTTTAACAGAGATGCCATTTCAGTGCTATCCAGCCATACCTTGTCGCTGCTTGTTCAGTAAATTTCAATATTTTTTTCAAAATAGTTGCTACATATTTTGACAATTGTTTTGTATTGAAAACATTATCTTTATTTATGCTGTAATAATGGTTGCATGTATTGTGTCCTTTGCACATTTTTCCCTCTAATTTTTACATGTGCAAATTTTACTTGAGTTACTCTTTGATCCTGTCTATATTTGGCAATCTCATTTTCTAATAAATGGTTAAAAAATATAATAAATCTATGTGTAATTTTTAATTTTGTGTACATGTGTATCAATATATAGATTTATTTGAGATCTTGGTAAGTATTAATGTAATTTATTTTATTAAGCAAATGTTGAAAAACGGACTACAGATTCACTTTGTATTTACATTTCTCCTCATGTTTACATCATATATAAACTTGATTTATCTTTTCACGAATGTGTTGGATAATAAATCTCAAATCTGGTCTCAAGTTTCACAACCGATAACTTTGTAGCAGACCACATGATCAAATGCATGATATATGATATATGAAAATATTATGTATTTTGGGACTTTTCTGTATGCAGGATGTCCTGAATTGTTTTCTGCTGTTTTCTGTCATTTTAATTTTTAAGTTTATTTATTTAGTTTTGGTAATAATCCTTATTAAAAATGTATAAATTTAAAAACTAAAAATGAGAAAAGGGATTATTTCCCTCTTTTGCAAGAAGACTGACCAAAGATCCCACAAAAAGTATAAACAAATGTATAAATTAATTGAATTATTTATTTGGTTATTTTAATAGAAAAACAAACCTAGATATCCAATAAAATGTAATGGATATTGGTTGCGCTACAACCAGGAAAAAAATGAATCCCATCCTGCTGTTCCCATTGTACTAACAATGCTATTTTCCAACAGTATTAAATGCAGGAAAGCATGTTGTGTCAACTAAATGCATTACATTTCTTACAACACTAATAATAGAGCCCACTACCAGGAATGAGTTGCATGTAAATAATCTTGATATTCTTTTTTAAAACATCTACAACTTTCTTGGTTATTTTTTTAAACATTTGTGTTGAAGAATTATAACAATCTGAGATTTCAGTTTTCAGCAGAGAATGGGTTACTTATGCAAAGCACTATGGCTCATATATCCAAGGTTGTATGCTTCTTTTCAGTGTATCCATTTTTATTGTATTGCTCAAAGCATCTCAGGTGCGAGAACATATAACATATCAGTAGAACAATCCAGAGGGAATCACTTCATTCAAAGAAAAGACCTGGAGCACTGTAATATTTGGACCTGTCTTCTAACATTCAATGCTTCCGTTTCTTAGCAGTTTGACTTGTCAATCACTGGAGCATGCCTGCACCATTGTCAAATCCAAGAACATTTCAAAATGTGTGTGTAGCAGTAATAACATTTATTATTATCATAAATTAAAGTGGATGTGAGGATATTTTAGATATTTGAATTATTAGAAGCAACATTAGTACACACAGATTAATTATAGACATTTCTTGAAGATATATTAACATCTGTTAAGAAGACAAAGTGACTTAAAACAGATACGCTCTCAGAATTCTTTCAGCCACCCCAAGAGCAAAAAGCAAAGCTGAATGACTTAGACAAAGCAATTACACTTTCATACAGCATCTATTGCATATATTCACTGCTTGTTGTTTAATATTTGGATACTAATTTTGCAAGTCAATTTTTACACTTATTACAGTTATCTAACCTAATGGGTGACTCTTCATTAATTTATTTTTAAAAATCTGATTACAGTTTCAGGAGGAATGTTTTTTCTCACCACGAACAAAACATCTTTACTTAACTAAAACTTAGTGTGACAGCAGTTCAATTCTTTTCATTACATTAGCTTATTAAAGGGAAAATATACTAAAATTAATCCCATTTTTTTATTTTCAGAAAATGTTCATGTGTCCTTTTTAAAATATTTAATCAACTATATAAATTCTAACAATATCCTTTAAAAGGACACTCAAAGCACCGAAACCACTACATATGCAAAGTTGAATGACTGGAATGATGCTGAGATAGAATGTAATTTATACAACTGGAAACCAAAATGCATGGATACCCAGGCAACACAAAAAAAAAATAAAGTAGAGGAAAATCTAGTATTGGATAAATCTAAAAACAAAACATATATGGCAAAACAATATAGTAAATACCACATAAAATACACCAGAAACACTAAAAGAAAAATCTAGATACAAGGCAGGTACAAAATACAAGGCAAAATGTGTTAGCAATATACAGTGAGTAAAAACATCCAAACAAGGATTTGGCAACTGGACAAGGTGAAAGATAGTCCAGAGGAAAGAAAGCGAATTAATAAAGTAGGAACAACTGAGAGCAGGCTCAGATGTTTCCAGCCTGCATTCAAAGCCTACAAGAGAACCACAGAAAGTCAGTGGACCTGAGAGGTATTGCATTTAACTGAAGATACATACAATCAGTGGACTCCTATGGAATCATGACACATAATCACATACATGCATATTTAACCACACTCACATTCAGATAATCACAATACTTGCCCCTCCCCCCTAGTGCTTACCTGTATGCAAGCTCCAGAAGAATGTAGAAAGATCAGAGTTACAGTCAGCAGTGGGAATGCAGGGTAGATGTGGATCTGCTTACCGAGACTCCTTACTGTTCTTCCCTCAACAGCTGCTATAGAACACGCAGCTAAATATCATTATCCCCTCTCTCCAAAGGGATTTTATACATCACTATGTTGTTGCACCAGATCTAATTAATTAGAAGTCTGCATGTAAAGTAATCACCCACTAGACAAAAATAATAATAATTGTTGCATCCCTGTCTGTCCCTGTCTGTCCCGCCATCCTAGAGCCTTGTCAGCCTAGTCCAAAATACATCCTTAATGGTGGCACAGATCCTTCTCTCTTTTACAGCTACAGTCTAATATTGGGCACTATATAATGTTGTATCATCATGGCAACCTTGGCCAATGCTAGAGTGCATTAAAGAGGTATAAAGGAAGAAAGTTATGTGATATAATAGGTTGACTGCTACCTCACATTAGACTCTGGTAAAATGCACAATTGCAGTAGATACATAGTGCTGCTATGAAGAAATCTGTGTAGTCACACATTTGGCTTTGGAAGGATTTTTGATAACATTGTATTCAATGTATATGTCTAATGTTGAATTGCTTTTGCCATGATATATATATATATATAAAGGTGCAGCCTACAACTCCATTGGTCTTCATAGGACTATTCAGCAAAAATTTGTTTCAGACGGCTTGTCTCATTCTTTGTCTGAATATTATTCAATGCATAAAACTGCACAGGTAGATCAATTCATTTGGATATGAACTAAAAAGATGTTCATTGGGACGAACCCGATGAAGCTATATTTTGCACATGTTTACTATTCTGCTTATTCAGATGATTAAGCACCATTATAACTAAATGGAATTATAATATATTTAAATCCAACTGGATTTTAGCCAGTTGCAAAGTAAATAGTGTTAATTTAAATAATTCATTTTTAGATCATCTGCAGTTATTACAATTATATGTAAATACACAAATGCAGACAAATGGGATTACTTGAGGGAATGTGAACATAATTTCATTTCATAATGTTTCTTAACTGTTTTATTCTGTTACCTACACATACCTAAATGTGTCTATTGCTATGTAAGCTAATACGATGTTAGCTATATAAGCTAATACAATGTGTTGTTATATAACTCTATAATCCTATTACTTAGTGAGCACATTTAGTAATTTTGATTAATAAGTCCAAAAGAATAATGCAGCTAAACATGATTCACTTTCTCTTTCACACTCAAACACACACTCACATATACACATATAATACACGGTGTTTAGTCTGTGTCAAATCAGAGATTCAGTATTACTTTGACTTTCAGACTGTGAAAACACAAAATTCATGCAAAAAAAAAATAAGAGTAAGTAAACAAAATCAGAAATAAAATAAAAGTTGACTGCTACGTAGTAATTAACTACAGTTACCTCTATCAACAACCGGGACTATCAACAAATGAATGTATACCACAGTTGTTGATGGGGCAAGTCTACTTAACCACTATATCTCTCTTCACTTTTTATTTTATTTCAGAGTTTGTTTACACACAAATATTTTATGTTTGCATTACTTTGACTGTATTTACTAGATTTAACTTAGACCTTGTGGCTCAGTCACTAGGGGTGAAAGGTTGTTACTCATTAGTATTGCATGCTGTATTGTGCCACATAGCTGGTTTGCCATATACCAAAAAATGAGTAGACACTACATACACCCAGGACTGATCCTGTGCACCGTTGATGGGCTGCTGAAAATATTTTGGTTCCCCCAGGTGTGTGTGGTCATTAGAGTTGAGCGGACACCTGGATGTTCGGGTCCGGCGGGTTCGGCCGAACGTTGGAAAAAAGTCTGAGTTTGTGCTCGAACTTGACACCGAACCTAAACCCCATTGAAGTCAATGGGGACCCGGACTTTTGGGCACAAGAATGGCTCTAAAAAAGTCCTGGAAAGGGCTAGAGGGCTACAAAAGGAAGTAAAATGGTAGTAAGAGTAGGACAAGTGCCCTGCAAACAAATGTGGATATCACTTAAAATAACATAAAATACATAAAAATTAAAAATACAGCTGAGCCATAAAATAGCATTAGATGGAATCTTTGAATTTAGCTTTGGAAGAACATAAATCAAAATCTAAAGCATGGCTGTCAGGAGGATCACCAGAATTATCCATTTGAGAGAGGGTTGGAGTGCAGGGTATTCTCTTTCATTGTTCAATCTGAGTTCAACTCCTGATGCATGGAGAGAAGGCCTTCACAAGCCTCTGCTATTGTGTACATAGTTTATACTAAGTGACCCATAGGTTGAGGAGGCGGTGACCGTGGTGGTGTAGGTGGAAGCAGCAGTAGAGGAGGAGGAGGTAGCCAACACTGTTTATAAATATCTATTTTTTATTTTAATTGGGGTAGCCCCAAAAATATTGGGACATGCAAAAAAAGAAACATTTGCGGCCTGCGGTGCATTTCTTGCAGTCCTGATGTATGGAGAAATGCTCAACTCCTGATGCATGGAGAAAAGGCCTTCACAAGCATCTGCTATTGTGTACATAGTTTATACTAAGTGACCCTTAGGTTGAGGAGGCAGTGGCTGTGGCGGTGTAAGTGGAAGCTGCGTTGGAGGAGTAGGAGGTAGCCAACACTGTATTTTATTTTTTTATTTTTTTTTATTGGGATAGCCCCCAAAATATTAGGAGATATAAAAAAAATTTTTTGAGGCCTGCGGTGCATTTCTTGCAGTCCAATAACGCCACCAGACGGAATGACAGCATTTCAAAGGCCACAAATGTTGAAATGCTGGCATTCAGGGCCAGGGATCGCAGGTGGCTAGGGGGATACTTCCTGTTTCTCTCCAGTGTTTGGGAAGAGGACAGCTGAATGCTTCCATGGGACAGTGTGTAGATGCTGGACAATTGTGTACCTGGCTTATGCTGGTGCAGGAACCCACCCTCCAAGCCACTTGTGAATTACTAGCCTGATAACAGTGGAAATGACCCCTCTTCCTCCTCCTCTTCCTCCTGTGCCACATCCTCTTCCATCATAGCCCAAAGTGTTTTTTCAAGGAGACATAGAAGTGGGATAGTAAGGCTGAGAACTGCGTCATCTGCACTGGCCATGTTGGTGGAGTACTCGAAACAGCGCAACATGGCACACAGGTCTCGCATGGAGGCCCACTCATTGGTGGTGAAGTGGTGCTGTTCCGCAGAGCGACTGACCCATGTGTGCTGCAGCTGAAACTCCACTATCACCTGCTGCTGCTCGCACAGTCTCACCAGCATGTGCAAGGTGGAGTTCCACCCTGTGGGCACGTCGCATATGAGACGGTCAGCGGGAAGGCCGAAGTTACGCTGCAGCGCATACAGAGGAGCAGCAGGGTGAGAACGCCGAAAGTGCGCACAGACAGCACACACTTTCTGCAGCAGATCTGATATATATGGATAGTTTTTCAGGAATTTCTACACCACCAAATTCAGCACATCCGCCAGGCAAGGGATGTGCATCAAACTGGCTAGGCCCAGAGCTGCTACGAGATTTTGCCAATTATCGCACACCAAAAGGCCGGGCTTGAGGCTCAGTTGCAACAACCACTCATCGGTCTGTTGTTCCCATCAAGCCAAGTTCCCAGAGGAGATCACCCAGCTAGAGCTCCCCAACGACACGGCTGGTGAGAGACCGCCAGCCCCAGACCCAAGAAGTATTGGTAAGAGCTGCTGAAGCAAGCTCACGATATCCCCTTGGCAGGGCATTTGGGCAGGAGCCAGACAACATCTCGGCTCACCCACAGCTTCTTCTGGCCAGGCATCTCTCAGAATCTGAGGCAGTACTGCCAGATGTCTGCCAGAGAGTGGGGAAGAGAAGGGACCAGCACAGGTACCCCTCCATCCCCTACCTATTAGTGAAGATCTGTTTGGCAGAGTAGCTGTTGACATTATAGTTGTGCAGGCACTTTGGTGATTCTAGAGAAACTCGGGCCAATCGCACGTCCCCATGACGGCGACTTTGCATTCGGATGTCTGACCTATCAACTTTCAATGCCACTTTCTGCACCTACCATGGTGACCACGGGTAATGGGGAATCAGGGTTTGATTCCGGAGAGGGAGACTGAGAAACGGCTACCACATCCAAGGAAGGCAGCAGGTGCGCACATTACCCACTCCCGACGCGGGGAGGTTGTGACGACAAATAACAATACAGGACTCTTTAGAGGCCCTGTAATTGTAATGAGTCAACTTGAAATCCTTTAACCATAATCAATTGGAGGGCAAGTCTGGTGCAGAGCGACTGACCCCTGCATGCTGCAGCTGAAACTATTGCCTGCTGCTGCTCGCACAGTCTCTCCAGCATGTGCAAGGTCAAGTTCCACCTTGTGGGCACGTCGCATATGAGGCGGTGAGCGGGAAGGCCAAAGTTATGCTGCAGCACAGACAGGTGAGCAGCAGCAGGGCGAGAACGCCGAAAGCGCACAGAGCAGCTACAGTGAATATCACATCCTGTTCCAAGTTGCGGATCAGTCTGGTGATGGCTTCTGGTATCTAGTACTCTTTTTACTAAAGCTGCATCAGGGTCCTGGTATGTGCCTGCACAAACGCTGGTGCTCAACACCAGGGGGCGTATGGTTACCCTACCCCGCTAATCCATTCCACACTGTGACTCCTAACTTCAACATCAGGCATACTGGGTCCCGGTCATCCAACCGCCGCCCAGACAGTGTCTGGGTCCCGGTCACCGGACTGCCCCCCATGACTGTTAAACTGTTAAATCTGTTATGGTTCCTTTTATCGCTCCATCTGTTACTTGGATAACTGTAGGAATTCTAAAGATAATACATGCCAACGAGCGCTAGGGGACAGCCGCTCCGCTTTTGCCCCCTGCTCCCTCTTATGCTGTGCTGGTGCCTCTGTGCCACAGCGCCTCTTCCTCCAAACTGCACACGTCACTCGCATGACCTTGATTCCATGTGGTGTCTAGGACCTCATCATCCTGCACATCATCTTCCACCCACTCCTCAACCCTGCCTCCCTTGCCGGTATGCACACTGCAGAAAGCCACAGCAGTTGGCACTTGTGTTTTTCCAGCATGTGAACTCTGCAAACGACATATGGAAATTATAGTAGAATTTCCTCCAGGCAACAGTTTTCCCTATAAACTGACCTCTCAGTTTGACTTGTAAGGGTATTGCCCCAGAATTACAATATTGTTGAAGTACCTCTTAGCTATTGATCACTGGTTTAAATATAGCAGCTTGTTATCTGGTAGTTTCTAGTGTAGAAAATATCAATCTGTTTTCTATCACTTAGATCTGTGTAACAAGTGTTGTAGGTGTGAAACAATATTACAAGTGACCGATGTAGTAAATTTAAATCAAATTTCAATTTGCAAAAAAAAAATTCTCGCCCATCTTCTGTGGCTTATTGCATTTTTAAGATGTAGATTTATAGTATCACACTAGCAATGCACAGGTAGATTGTCTGGCACGTTGTTTTGGTGTTTGGTTTTTAACTTTGTAGTTGTGTCTTTACACAATATAGAAATGTATATTAATGCTTCCGTATATGAACGATCACAATAACACTTATTTTTCACTTAAAAAAAAACAAAACATCAGGCTACACAAAAATTGATAATTCACAATATGAGATCTGAAAAGCACATGAAAGGATGCTGTATGATTTAATAAAAAAGAACACACTACATGCAGGTCCTGTTCACTAGAGTGTGTAGTAATGAATGTAACCAGTAAAACTTTGTTGTTTACAGCCACTGGTTGGCCCATACATATTATAAAACTTGTTTAATTTTGTTGTAGCATGACTTGTAGATAAGAAGAGCAGGCCCCAAAATGTACTATTTAGAAAATTAGCACCAAAACAATTAGAATGTTTACAATTGTGCTGTAACTACAGTATTAGACGCTTCTATTTGACTCTCAGATATGAAGTGCACCGCAGGCTCCATCAGTTATTAGAGTCCATCTTCTAAAACTAGGGGCACAGGCAAAAAAAAGTGTAAAATATTAATTAAACAAGAAGTGGATATCAGTGACCCTATCTAATGAAATCCAAGACCTAAACAATAAGATAAACAGCTTATTGATGGGAAAAAAAAAACAAATAAAATGTTACACTATTTAAAAATGTGGTATTATAAAGGGAATAAAAGATGATAGAATTCTCTCCAATAAATTAAAAAAGAAAAGAAAAGTAAAAACTATTTCTAAAATTGTACATGAAGGTAAAATATATCTAGCACCAAATAAAATATGTAAGGTCTTTAGTAAATATTACTAGTCACTAACTTACAACAAGGGGCAACAGCAATTAAAATCGAAGAATACTTAAAAAATGTGGATCTACCAAAACTATCTAGTGAGATATTAAATCAGTTAAATAGACCTTTTACAGAAGAGGAAGTATGTCAAATAATAAGAAAACAAAAACCTGGGAAAGCTTTAGATCAGATGGTTTTGATGTTTCTTTCTATAAATTATTTTTAAAACAACTGGCCCCATATCTAGTAAATGCTTTCAATGATTTTGTCGTTAAAGGAGCTATACTTGAAGAGTTACTGGGAGGAGATATAGTACCTATTCTTAAGCCAGGTAAAAATCTAGAAAACACCAGCAGCTATTGACCAATCTCTCTTTTAAATTCAGGTGTAAATATATATGCAGCCATAATAGCAGAGAGATTAAAGTAATACTAGATACAGTGAATCATAACCACCAAGTAGGCTTTGTTCCAGGAAGGTCTCCAAGGGCCACTTGAGATCACTTATAAATATATACAATCGCTCCCGATCAAATTGAGTGCTCCAGCTGACTCTGTTATTGGATGTCAAAAAGGCTTTTGACAGGGTCAGCTGGGGATATATGGTGGAATCGTTGAGAGCATTTGGATTAAGGGGCAAAATATTTGAAGCAATAATGTCATTATATACTAAAAAAATTAGAACTCATCCTAAAATTCAAGGATTCAATAAAATGAATACACAGATAATTCTCCAGGGCTGCACCTTTCTGTGGAAATCCCTTCCCCTCTCCATTAGACTTTCACCCAGTCTCCACTCCTTCAAAAAAGCTTTGAAAACACACTTCTTCAGGAAAGCATATCATCTAAACTGTTAGCGGGTTTTCATCCCCCTACTAAGTTCTCAGTGATTTTCTAGCAACCTATTTCATTACCCCTACTTCTCAGTGATTACTCTTCTAGCAACCTATTTCATTAACCCTACTTATACCCTTTGTGTCACTATACTCACTCCCTCTAGCATGTAAGCTCATTGAGCAGGGCCCTCAACCCCTCTGTTCCTGTGCGTCCATTTGTCTGGTTACGTGTCTGTTAGTCCACCCATTGTACAGCGCTACGGAATTTGCTGGCACTATAGAAATAATAAAATAATAATAATTAAACTAAATGCTAATGACATCTTATTGAATGTTGAAGATCCTTGCAAATCATCAGATGACATTATGGATTGTATAAAATAATACTCTATTATCTAATTACAAATTAAATTAAACAAAATCTATAGCAATCCCTTTTGTCTTGAACTCAAATAAATTATTTGAAAGACAAATATAATTTTAAATGGGAAAATAGCCAGTTCTCATATTTGGGTATTAAAATATCTACTACATCTAGTGAATGGATGTAAATAAATCTACTTCCTCTGATAAAGGATATGAATAGATAATTTAAAGAATGGAGAACATTAGAAATTTCCTGGTGGGAAAAATAAATACTGTGAAGGCATATATGCTGCCCAAGTTTACGCATATATTCAGAATGGTTCCTTTAAAAACCCTGATTCCATGGTTAACTATGATTTAGACTGCATTTACTAAATTTATATGGACTGGGAAGAAACCCAGATTACATTTACAACTACTTGCTTAAAAAAAACAAAAACAGCTAGGTGGGTTAGGAATGCCAATAATTCAAGACTATGCAGATGCGGCCCTATTAGCACAAGCGGTAACATCACAAATAAGTAGAGCTTCATCTGAAAGTTGGTATATAATAGAGATGAAAGATTTTAAACCTCATGACTTATTGACTCAATTTTGGAAAACACAGAATTCTTCTAAATCTTTATATATAATAGAAAGAAATATAGCTCCAAAGCATAGCTTGTCAAATTGGTTTACGTTTATAAATAAAGCAATGATAAAGGACGAAATCTTACCCTGCCTACCTTTAAAAATTATAAATGGTCTAATGGAAAATATAGATCTCCTACCATGGATTACTAAAGGAATTAAGGAAATTAAGCAATACATAGATGGGAATAAAATAAAATCCTTTATTGCACTTGAAATAGAATTTAGTATTTGTGATCAAGAAATATTTAATTATCTGAGAATTAAGTGTTTTCTACATGATAAATTGCTCTTTAACCCCATCCCCACCTCGGACTTATCAGGTACGTCCACAGGACTGGTGCAAGGATTTCTGCTGCCCTAGACAAATATCCATTTTGCCCCCCCTCATGTCACTCAGTCACTGACAGACACACACACTCACTGACAGACACACACTCGTTCACTGACAGACATACACTCACTCACTGACAGACATACACTCACTCACTGACACACACTCACTCACTGACAGACACACACACACATGACACACACACAGACACTTACTGACAGACATACACACACACACACACATGACACAACACTTACTGATAGACATACACTCACTCACTGACAGACACACAAACACACACTCACTGACAGACATACACTCACTCACTGACAGACACACACACACACAGACCCTCACTGACTGACATACATACACTCAGTCACTGACAGACAGACATACACTCACTCACTCACTCACTCACACACACACACACAGACATACATACACACATTGACAGACAGGCACGCACACACAGACACTCACTGATATACATACACTCACTTATAGACACACACACAAACACACACAGACACTCACAGACAGACACTACACTCACTCACTGACAGACATACATATACACTCACTCACTGACAGACATACATATACACACTCACTGACAGACACACACACACAGACACAGACACTCACTGACATACATACTCACTCACTGACAAACACACACACAGGCAGACACTCACTGACACACACACACACACAGTTACTGACAGTCAAAGACTCACCTCCCTGGTGTCCAGTGTGGGGCAACTCCTCACTCCTCCCGCTCACTGTTTAGAATGCCGGGGCCAGAATGACGTCATTATTCGGCTCCCGGCATCACAGAGGGCACGCGAGGGAGGAGTGAGAGGCTGCAAGAACAGTCTCCCTCGCCGCCTTCCTGCTCCGTCCCCCTCTCCTCAGGTCACCGGCATTT